GACATTGTTGACAGCAGCAGCCAAGCTTATGACTCTCTCCAGGATGGTGTCACGGCCAAATAGAGCACCAGGCCAGATGAGGCTACTCGGATGAGAAAAAAGAAGAGGGAACATAAAGTTAGCTTTTAAGAGGTTTAACTCACAAAAAAGCAGAATCGGTACATAGCAATAGAATGACGCAGAATTAATGAAAAGTTGTCCCTATGTCCTCCAGTAGCCTAACCCCATAGCAGCATAACAATAGAGATGGGGCAACTCTGAAGCCCCTCTAATGATAAGCTTTATCAACAAAGAAAGTTTTATGCCGACTTTTAAAAGTAGATAGGGTGTCTGCCTTGCGGACTAAAACTGGAAGTTGGTTCCACAGGAGAAGAGCCTCATAACTAAAAGATCTGCCTCCCATTCTACTTTTAGTATTCTAGGAAACACAAGTAAAACTGGAGATTAAAAGCAAAGTATTCTGTAATGAACATCAGGAATAATCAAATATCTGACATAGGATGGAGCTGGGTTATTTAGGGCTTTACATATGTAAAGGAGAATTTAAAATTCTATAGTGGAGGAAAAAAAAGGAAGGCGACAAAGAGAAGCTAGAAGAATTTTGATCTCTTTTCTTTAGAAATCTGGCTGCAGTATTTTGGATCAACCGAAGACTTTAACTACATTTAATGGACTTCCTGATAGTAAAGGATTACAGTCATCCAGTCTTTTAGTAACAAATGCATGGACGAGTTTGTCAGCATCACACCTGTACAAGATATTTCTTTTTTTATGATATTCCAAGATTTTTTAAGGAATCATCAAAGGCCAATTTAAGGTATCCAGATGAAGCTTCTTTTTCAAAGACTCTGGTCCAAAGACAATCACTTCTGTGTTATCCGCATCCAAAAGCAGAACATTTTAAGTCATCCAGGTTTTTATGGCCTCAATGTCCCAATCCAGCAGAGCACCTACTAGCAAGGTGTACCCAATGGAATGCTGGTGAGTGGTGGTCTATAATTGATCAAGTAATTTAACCTTTCACCTTTATTTAAGGTTTCTTAAGTAAAGGTGTACTACTGTATATTTTCCACACTATAAGGCGCATAGAACAGAATCTACAGTAGTGGCTGGTGTTGCATCATGCATCCAGTAGATACAGCTGTTCTAAAGAGAATTCAATAAAACAGTCAGATAAGTAAGTCAAAATTACTTGCAATATGACCAAGCTTCTTCAGCTGTAAACACACAAAAGAAACGTGTGAATTTAAAATTTTCGGTGAATTTCTCAATAATGAATCCCTTCCAATTCTTGTCCGAATTGAACAGTTTGGCTAATACAGTACGAGATCCAACAGGCCCGTCTCCGTCTCGTCAAAGTCGTAATTTTTTGAACTTGTGTTTGCCTTCTCATCCACCGCTCCCATGCAGGTTGCAGTCTAGCTTTGAATGCCCTGTTGACACCAATATCTAGGAGCGGGAGTTCTTTTGTTAATCCACTGGGACAGACTGCAAGAACTGAATTTGTGGATTTCACTTGTTTTTTGACAGTATCAGTTATATGGGACCCCATCAAGTCCTGGATAAATAAGGACGGTGCTGTGTGAAAAAAGCCACTCTGTCTCCAGACGTATATTTGTTTCAACCACTCACTTATCTTCTATTCATCCATCCATTCCTTCGAGTTATCTTTGATGATGACACCAGTAGGACATTTTTCTTTTGGCTAGGTCTTTCTCTTGAAAATAACGGGTGGAATAATGGGTGAAGGTTTCTGGCCATTCGCCTGGCAGGCGAAAACTAAAGTGAAGGAGGACTTCTCATTCCCTGTGGTGCTAACATTCACTGTACATGCTCCCATTTTATCCACCTCATCCAAGTTGATGATGTGCTCTGGCCAGATCTTTTTTTCAGTGATCTTGTTTTTGCAGTATTTGCAGTAAGAGGCCAACTTTTCTTTGTAGTCTTTTGGCAGTTGCAGAGAAACAATAGTTTATTTGCAGTTGGAGAGTTTTCATCTTTTCATAAACCGAAAGCACCAAGAAGGACCGAATCTTAAGTAATTGATGATGAGTTTGCGTTCTAGCAATGTTGCCTTCATTCAAATAGGGACTGTTGAGACATTTCTACCTGCTGCTCTCTGTTCAATAATCCACTGTTTGAGTTTATTCTCTAATTGGATCAATCTTGCTTTGTTCCCTCGGAAACTCTGTTTAGTCTTCTTTACTTGGCGCAGGTCATCATTTCGTATCCTCCACTTTCGCACCATTAATTCATTAATGTTCGATTCTCAAGCTGCTGCTCTCTTCCCATGTTTTACTGCATAACCAGTAGCATTGATTTTAAACACTGAGTGGTACACTTGTCCCTTGAAAGGAGCCATTGTGGGGTCTTAACACACTTAAATGAAAATTCCTTCTTCTATGTAGTTGCAAGACCTGTTGATGCTTAATCTTGATTCATACATAGGGTGCACTGGATAATGAAGCACACTGTTGCTTTTTGTGAAAGTTCAAGGCTTTTAGGTGTGATGTATAGCTATAGGTACAGCTACCTAAAAGCATGTGCTGTATATTCCTGTATTAGAGATGGATTAATCATATCCAAAATGAAGATGAAAATCAGAGGGAACCTTTCCTTGAATATTTGTTTGGAACTAGATCTAACATGCCATGATATTATGTTTAATTTAATGTATCTCATTTATGAATAATCCTGTAAAGTCATTACTGCTGAGAGCTGGGGGGATAGATTATTCAACAGAGCTGTTGCTAAGAAATCTAATATTATTTTCATTCTCCTCTATTAATGACAGGAAATTTGGTGCTCTTGTTTAACGAACGGTCATATTATCATATTATACCCTGATGAAAAGTTTTTCCAGGTGAATTAGGATTATTCTATATATGAAGAGATAGCCTAGCCAGCCAGTGCCAGTCAGTCTGGTAAAGGTTCAATACTCTAAAAAGAACTGGACCAATCACATAACAAGACATGGGCCTTTAAAGCAAAGATCTATTGGTGCCCTTTATTATGTCATTAAAAACTTTATGTGTCTTTAAAATTTTAAACATTTTTTAACACTTTTTTTGCATCAACATCTGTAGTTATCTGATATGTTCTAACTCTACCCGGGCTCTAGCCGCTTCTTTCCAGACTGCTGGGTATAAAGCATAAATCAATATGGCTGATCAGATTAGTTTTCTCTCCAGTTTCCTAGAATTATGCTTCAAAGTATGAAGCTCTAAATTAAAACAGGGAGCCATCTTCTTATGAATAAAATCCTTCTTTTTTGTGCAATGCAGGGGAGATATATTAGACTGATAACATTTCGAAAATAATCGTGTTCTTTTTATTTTACAACAAGGAGATTATGTTTTCCATCGGCAGCGTATCAACTATTGATATCACTACATCTTTCATTTGCAGGACAAGTTGTAGAAGAACTCCATTAATCGGTGGGTTATCCTAATGAATAAGGTCATACGCTCTAAACACATGTACATACTATACTGTGTCACAAATTCTAAGAAAAACATTTATATTTGGTCCTACCATTCAGTCTTTCATATAATTAAATCACGAAATCTGTGAAGGTACGGTGAATCTTTCTATGGTTTTAAAACTTTTCCCTATTTGTCAAGTAGAAGAACTGCCAGTTAAAATAATTGAATTCTAACATTGAGTTTTATGGTTTGTCGTTATTAGTTTTTGTACCAAGTGTCTGTGCAGTTACCTTTGCTCTAAAGTAACTGCTAAAAACAAGGGGAAAAAAACTCTTTCATCATTTCACAAACTCTGCATCACACTGATAACACCAAACCAAAAAATACTGCATATTTACATCATATATAAACGCTCTGAATTTCAATATCAGTGCGTTTTTGCACCAATTTTTTCTTCTTTTTTTTTCTCTTTTACACTGTTTACATTTGATCACTGCTGCACCTCATGGAATGGAAATGTTCATCTTCTGTCCAAAAGCTGTTCTAAACAAAATCTTGTTTTGTATTTACTCTGTGTATAAATAATGACAATAAAAGTTGTCTAAGTCTTAGCTCTAATACCATTTTTGTTTGTTTAACATGTGACCCACTTTATACCCTAATTAGAAGAAAGGAAATTGGAAAGCTATAAATAAAAACATTGTTGCACTTCCCTTGTCCTTTATCCCTGCTCTAATCCAATCAAATGTGGGATTTCATGAAACAGGGGCTTGTGCCTTTGTTTCTCATTATTCCGAGGTATCATCGTTTCCACGGGTTCTTAGATTAGCAACTGTAAGGTCCAGCTCTGCTCCTTTGTCACAGGAAAGACTTGCAAGGCTTCTGCCACAGAATACCAGTGACACATGAGAGCCTCTCCACAGCTGAGTGTATATCTTCTACTGTGCCAGGGAGCATTAAGGAGATTAAAGAAAGACTAAAACAATGACCAAATTGCTGAAACAGATATTTTTCAAACAATAATGTGTATAGAGAGTTAAACAAATGTTTTTAATAAATATCAGGGTTTTTACATGTTTTTTTTAAGAATCTACTTATTTTCTTTCATGTTGAACTGGTGGTCCTAAAATAGTTCAATGCACAACAAATGGCCCTTTAAAATACATTCTTAAGCTACTTTGGAATCTCTTGGTGTTTACATTAAGAATTGAGAGCAGAAAAAAAAAAATTAAATTAACAAACTTAATTTTCCTTGACTATTGAACACCATCTTTTAAAAAATAACAACCCATATTCTTGTATTTATGAACCATCTTGGTAATATATGTAAATCTTGCAAGTGGTAGCAACCAATTCTGAATTTTAAAAGGAAAGGAATCCAAGCTGTGATCAGCTGCTTGCACTGGTCTTTGAAGAGGAAACCAAACAACAGCCAAAGTCAACTTGGTGCATAAAAATACTCAATCAGACGACAAAACAATGTGACCAAATAAAGAAGGTCATCTCTGCTGAGTGAAGACTGATCTGTCTATAAAAGAAGGAAGGCAGGGACGCCTCCAAGGACTGTCAGGCAACCAGACAAGGTGAGTGAGTTGGAGTCTTTCAGTAGCAGGAGGAGGGCCAATAGCTTAAAGAACAATGCAGGGCATGGACGCTTACTGCCAGGAAACAAGATGCTTTGTGTTAGCCAGCAATTTACTGTAGATTAATAATTTTGGAAAGTTTGTAAACAATCTGCTGAAATATATCTTTCTTCAGAACCTTTTACAAGACCATCTCCAGCTGTTCTTCTGGTCCGAGGGGAGAAGGTAAACTATTCCTGGTATCACTGTTGCATTGTCAGAGGAAAAATTTTTCTGCCTATTAATCCTGTTGCATTTCTTTGGTGACTAACTCCTTCTGCATGCTTTGTATTGTTAATTTAACTTGTACAACATTGATATCATTCATCAGCTTTGTTGGATGACTTTTTAGTAACTTGATATTACACTTGAGCTCTTTGTTGTAATAACTTTGTACCATTTTCAGTAAGAAAAAAATTAAGCATTAGGACAGGTCATGATGCATTTAGCTTCTGTTTAATAGTCCGGTTTTGATTTATATATCTTTAATTGTTTTTATTAATTGTATTTGGAACAGTTTTTGATCAAATACTGTATTTTCCCTCCCAAGGCAGATAACATCACCGCTCCCCTCTACTGTTTAACCGATTTCTTAAAAAAAAAAAAAGGCTGCAAAAAAAACAACAACATTCCCCCACATTTAAGATGGCATTCAATGTTTTATTCAAATTGTAAGATGTTCCATCTTTTATATATTGTCAATATAAAGAAAAAAAAGTGTCTTAAGGAATCTCAACAACTTATCTCAAAAACAAGAGCCGCTCATAAACTTTTCCATAACACCCAATATCTAAAGTGTGTTCATATTTTCCCAGAAGCATCAACTAAATGACTGCATTTAAACCAATACCGTGTCTACATTTCAAACGCTAGAAGAAAACACCTGCATGTCTGTTTACTTTAAGCCAAATGCATGCAAAGTCTCAAAATCAGGGGTTTAACTCCAATCCTTATTGTCTGGTGTCCGATACCTCTTAGATATTTTTCTGCTTCCTCATACTTGAATCAAACTGCTGTATTACCCCTTCAGTATGCAGTTAAGTCTATAGAGTCCTGCTAATGACCTGATTATTTGACTAAGGTCAGTTGGAGCAGAGGGGATCTGAAAAATGAAAGATGAGGATGGAGTTAAAGGACCCTGATCTACTTCATCCAGCTAATGGAGTATAAGGATTAGTCATGTTTAGACTTAGATTTGCCCTTTGAACATCCTCCACTGCAGCACTATCTTTATTTTGAGTATATCTAATAATATATCTATATTTAATATTTTTAAAGTTTCACGTAACATTGCAACTATTTGAATTATTTTCTTTATTTTTTTATTTATTTATTCCCAAGCAGATAGTTTTCCCAAATTTAGCAACTGTTATACCTTGTAAAGTATGTAATACATAAATGAATGATAAATTGAATAATACATTGCATCTATATCATCATCATCTGCATGACCAAAATTAGACTGACTTGATCATCTAATAGTATTCATTTAACAGTAGCCTGTTTAGATCCATGTCCTTTCTTCCTAAATATTAGGCTTAAATTAAAATATTGGATTTTTGTTCTGCTCTTCCAGTAAACCGTCATCATGAGTGGGGATGCAGAAATGGAGTGCTTCGGCCCTGCGGCCATATTTCTCCGCAAGCCAGAAAAAGAGCGAATTGAAGCCCAGAATGCTCCTTTTGATGCTAAAACAGCCTACTTTGTGTCCGAGCCCAGTCAGATGTACCTCAAGGGAAAGCTCACCAAGAAAGAGGGTGGCAAAGCCACTGTGGAGACTTTGTGTGGGAAGGTAGGAGTTGGAAATATTTCCCTACAGAGAGCATCCATGGTTATTTCTCAATTGAAAATAATAAGCATTTTGAATGATTTTGATTTGTTATTGTCCGATTATTTTAATGGGCCGTATATGAACAATTTCCCATCTTAATATGTTGTAACTACCCTATTCATCCTGCGCTGCAAAAACTTCGACACTTTTCTCTGTACATCAGACTATCACTGTGAAGGAAGATGAAATCTTCCCCATGAATCCACCAAAGTTTGATAAAATTGAGGACATGGCCATGATGACCCACCTCAATGAGCCCACTGTGCTGTATAACCTCAAAGAGCGATATGCAGCATGGATGATCTACGTAAGTTAGTCCAAATATAAATATCAGTGGCTTAAACCTATGATGGCTGCAAAAACTTTTGCATCATCATGATCATTTGTGACCCTGCAGACCTACTCTGGGTTGTTCTGCGTTACTGTGAACCCCTACAAGTGGCTCCCAGTGTACGATGCAGTGGTTGTTGCAGGATACAGGGGCAAAAAGAGAATTGAAGCTCCTCCCCACATCTTCTCCATCTCTGATAACGCCTATCAGTTCATGCTCCAAGGTATCAGACCTTCTTTAATCAGTACATAAACACAGCAGTCGCACCTCAAACTTCCACCTCTTAACTGTTTTCCTAATTATTCCTCTGACAGATAGAGAAAACCAGTCTATCCTGATTACGTAAGTGTGGCAAGTTTGATGCATTTGTGTTTTCCTAGCAATAATTGAATCAGTAGTTTTCTAATTAAACTTTGAATCTTCAAACCAGTGGAGAATCTGGTGCAGGAAAGACTGTGAACACCAAACGTGTCATCCAGTACTTTGCGACAATCGCAGTGTCATCCACTGGAAAGAAAGCTGAACCAGTTCCTGGAAAAATGCAGGTTGGTTACTTTGATTCACTACAAAATATTGTGAATAAGTAAACAAAGACCTACTGAACTGATGAGACCAATGTTGCCTTCAGGGATCACTGGAAGATCAGATCATTGCAGCCAACCCACTGCTGGAAGCTTATGGAAATGCCAAGACTGTGAGGAATGACAACTCCTCTCGTTTTGTAAGTTAAAGTTTAAATTGTCTCCTGGTTTTTAGTGAAAACCATTCATTGCAGGAGAATTTTAAGATGTTTTCTTGTTTCCACACAGGGAAAATTCATTAGAATCCATTTTGGTTCAACTGGAAAGTTGGCTTCTGCTGATATTGAAACATGTAAATCTTTCTGTTAAAATCTTCTTCCATAATTCTATATTTATGTTTGGAAATGTGGATTTTCTTGAATGAGAACAACCTGAATCCTTACAGATTTGCTGGAGAAGTCTAGAGTGACATTCCAGCTGTCTGCTGAGAGGAGCTACCACATCTTCTATCAGCTGACAACAGGCCACAAGCCTGAGTTAGTAGGTGAGAAAGATTCATATTCCTTTTTCCCACAAGTTAACAGTGTCTTGCCACAAGCTGGCAATATGGCATATGTTTTATATTTAGTATAATTGTATTTATGTACATTCATTTTGTGTTTAAAACAGAGGCTCTCCTGATTACCACCAATCCCTATGATTATCCAATGATCAGTCAGGGAGAAATCACTGTCAAAAGTATCGATGATGTTGAAGAATTTGTTGCTACTGATGTAAGCAGTGTTGTAAATTTAAATCCTTATTACATATATTTTTAAAAGTCACAAACTGATTAATTAACCTCTGTTTGAACACAGACTGCCATCGACATTCTGGGTTTTACTGCAGAGGAAAAGATGAGCATGTACAAACTGACAGGAGCTGTGATGCATCATGGAAACATGAAATTCAAGCAGAAGCAGCGTGAGGAGCAGGCTGAGCCTGATGGCACAGAAGGTATAAAATAAAACATGCGGTTTTAATAAGTCCTGGAGTTTTTGTGTCTTTAAGGAGAACTGAGCAGAACTTTTTTTTCTTTTAGTGGCTGATAAAATCGCCTATCTGATGGGTCTGAACTCTGCCGATTTGCTCAAAGCTTTGTGTTACCCTAGAGTGAAGGTTGGGAATGAGT